AGTTAAGAAGAAGAGTGATCGAAAATAGTTAGCTTATGAAACGGATAGACCGTTCGTTTAATGAGCAAACGAAAAAAAAAATGCAAGACAGGTAAATATTGCGTGATCGAGACTAAAGAAGAGTAATTAAGACAAGCGACATTTCTTTCTCTTTCTACCCGATAGCTTACATCATAGTAGTCATTGCTCGTCACTTACTCATATGAAATTGGATGCTTTTTCTTTTCTGCTCTCGTTCATCTGTTTTTTTTTTCTTGCAATATGAATCGAATTTGTTGATGTTATTACCGTTGTATTGAACGAAACAACAATCGATCGGTAGTGATATGAAATTTCGACAGTTTTCTTCTTCTATTTGTGTATGTTTCTTCTCCTTCAGTATAATAATTGTTCTGTTGTATTTTCTAAGAATCAAATCAAGTGAAGCGAGAGAATTCCCTTGAGTTTATACACATACGATCGACATTTGACATTATAATATAAAGACAGCCTAGTTTTTTTTCTCTTACATTGAAAAGAAAAAGAAAAAAAGAAGAATCCATTTTGGGTACATCCTTCTGGGAGAATACAAAGAAAATAAATGAATACTCGAGTAAGTTCTTTTTTTCTCGTATGTCATAAATCCAATCATGGAAGAGCACAACTGTCAAAAGAGAATATATATTTCATACTTTATTTTATCTTAATAAAAGCTGATTATTGAATATATAAATCAACACAAGAAATAGAATAATTTTATAGATGTAAATATATGATTCTTGCTGATAATTAATGTATTTAAATATAGTAGATTTCTGGAACAGTGAAAAATTGATAAAAATTCAATAGCTAGTAGAAGTATTGTTTTTTTTTTTCTAGTGTAAACTAAATACCCAAGTGGAAAAATCTTACGAACATTGTATATAACTTTCGGTTCCAGCTATGAATAGTTGAAGAATGTGTTTTTTTGCTCAAAGTCGTATTATTTATTCGAGAAAATTCAAACTAACCGAAAAGAAAACAATTTCAGAATATATTTTTCTAATACAAATTTTGTAGCGTCATCGATATTAAAAAATCTATCATATAACTGGAACTGTTTTGAGCTTTATAGTTAGTACCATTCAATTCTGTCAAAATTAACATATTAAATCGTATTACAAGATCTAATAATGACATTTTTTCACCTAGGTATTTTCGATATATTTTTTTATATCGGAAATACTGCATTATTTTTTTTTAAAGTAAGGATTCATTGCATCACGCATATGCGCTTTATAGCTATGATATTAGAGTATGATGAATGGTTGTTAGCACTAATGAAAATTTGAATTCTTTGTTTAAATACTGTAAACTATGGTGTACGACGCCGAATCATTCTTGATGAAATTCAGATTGGATATTTTTATATAACACAGTAAAAAATTCTGAGAAAAACTTTAAAAACGTTTACTTATGGTATTTAATGTGATTCTATTTTGTAAACTCTTGTCTAAAATCAATTAGTTCAGCTTGTTTATAAAGGCATACATTATATATGATCGAAAGAATTCATTTCCATATTAATCATCTGATTGATCTTCTTATTTTACGTCATAGATATAAGAAAATGAAAATACTTCTTTTCTAGGGAACAATTAAGTTTTAGTGTCATTGAACCAACTAAGACAGAATAGATATTGAATATTTTATTTTCAAAATAATTGTATGTTAATACTTGAATGAAAAAAGAGGGATATATATATATACCAATATAAAACTATCATTAATTGAAATATGATGCGTACTTTATTCTATGTTACCTTGAAACAAGAGTTCAACACATATACTGCATCCATGCAAACATAAACATGTATCGTACATATCACTTGATGTGTTTTAACAATTACTTGTTGTTTGCATACTTTTAGATAGTAGAGTGGTACTTGGAAATTATTAAGAATCTATCAGAAAAGAAAGAAAGAAATGTTAATAAGAGGATTTACAAAAATAAAACTTCAAAATTGTATTGAATTCAACATATCAATCAAATGATTTCAAGCAAAATGAATTTTATTATAAATTTTTGTTCAAATTCAAATTAAATGCATTAAAAAAAGAAATATTTCTTTCTTAAGTAAACATAGAATTTCACAAACGAATAATATTCGATCGACATTCAATACTTTGATTGATGTAATGAAATGATACTTAAGTTATAAAATACTATCAACTAATCGATGTTATTTTAAAAAAACTTATTCATTGGCAAATAAAGACAGAAGATTCTTTGTTATATAACATTGAATGAAAAATAGAACTATTGCTTTTCTTCTTTTTTTTTTTTTAAACAGGATCTATTACTACATGGTGATCCTTACATATTCATATATTCTCTTTCTCAATTATTTGTTGAAAAAATAAATTTGTCTTAAGCATGTTTGACTATCGGCTTATGACGAAAAAAAATCTAATTACAATTCAGTCGAAATACTCTCTTGAAAAAAGATAAAAATAAATGAGGATAGACTAAAGCAATCATAATCAGTCATGGCTCAGAACATATATATTCATTATGATGACGTTCTAGCATATGCTGATAGAGATACTATTCATTATGTTGCATGAAATCGAATCATTGCTATTTGTCTATTCATTTTGTAAAACACAATCTAAACAGAGTGTTAAAAAATACGAGTCGAATTTTTTATTCCTCTCTTCTCTTACAGACTGTGATGGACGTTATTGAGATACGATCACAGGTCATATATCAATAATGTCTTTATAAAATAAATCAACTACTTTCTTATTGCATTTATAAAGGATTAAGTAAAATGGTGATGAAGAAATGTGATCCAAAGTAGATAGAATAAAATAATCTTTCTGTGATTAGCAAGAGCAGATACACCGTGTTTCACATTTTAATCCTGTAGTGATATACAACATCTTTCCTACTAACAAAAAAAAAGAAACCTTATGTGATATCTCAGTTAAAAATATATCAACTAAACTATATACTAAAATAATAATTTGATTTTACGGAAAATAAATTAGGCGATTTTTAATAATTAATATATTTGTATCAGTCGTTTCATGTGAATCTCAATGAAATGACACACTCAGTGATCAATTCACAATACAATGTTTATTTATATTTTTCCAAAGAATTCAAAAGCTAAGAATTCAATACGATTGTATATTTACCAAGAATGTGAACAAAATATGTCATAACATTATGAACTAATTTTAGAGAGGAAAGTTTTTAAGAATTCATCGAAAATGATCGAATTTTGAAATTCTGAATGGTTAAAATTAGTGCAAACTTTCAAAGCATTGTTTTTTTTTTCTATAGGTTTTAATACTCAAAATAACTTTAGTTCAGTGTTTATGACTTTATTTACTATTGCACTGCTGTAGGATCTAGGACAGAAAAATCTTCATTTAATTTTGATACGATAAATGATGAATAAATATACTTTCAAGACACAAGAGAATTTTAGCATTTTTTATAAAAATACGAAACAAAAAAATAGTATATTCTTTCGAATTCTATCTTCTTAATGATCCGACAACAATCAATCTTGTAAGTTGATTTAATTCAGGCTGAATTTTACATGCAGTAAATAATGAATATTTCGTATCCATTTGTTCTTTACAACAAAGACTTTCCGGTAGAGTCATATTAATATTAACTCGATTCAATCGTGGCGTACGATATTCAAAAATAGAGGCCAGTGTATTTAATGATATATAACTTGGTCGTTGATATTTAATATCAAGTACAAAATTTTCAAGATTAGATACAAAAGAAAGTATTCAACGACGTGATACAAATTTAGTTCTATTAAATATAACATGGTTAACAAGTATTTGTCCAGATGATCAAAAGTTATGTGGTGGTCATTTTGAAACAAAATGTTATACAAAAGAACAACGATGTGATNATCTGATTACATAATTAAATATATTCATAGTTCTTCAGTCATCTTCTTCTATTCATAAACTACCGAAATAACTGTCGAACTAATCTATCAAAACATATCTTTATTTGATACTATTTCACCTAAAATGCTTTTATCCTAGCACAGAAAACTGACTACACTTAAAGTACATTCTATAATACTGATACTTCAATTTCACAATATTCACGTTAAGAGAAATATTCTAAATCATGTATTTCATATTATACAAAGACAAAAAGAAACTTTAACTTTAAGAGAATATATTTAAAAAAAAAATTGTTCACACAGATCCTTTGGGGCTAAAAGGTTCAATTTACATATCTATACCTTCATTATACTAATAAGAAATACATAAAATGAAAAATCTTCAACATACGATAGTTAATTTCCAAAGATCAGCGATTTTCAGAGAATCATTTCTCTTATTTAATTTCTGGATTTCAAACGAAAGTTTTTTTTTGTTCGCTTTTTCTTGGCGCTAGAATTCTTTTCTTTGTCTTCTTGTTATTGATGTTATTTTTTTATTCAGTTTTTCTTAATTCTTATTCATCTAACAAATGATTTAACTAGCAAATGTCTCTCACGTGTGTGAAGGTAAGGGAAGCCGGAAAATTTCGACTTCAAACTTCTACTCTCTATTTTGCTTCGTAAAATATGCGAGTTTGACAAAAGAAAAATTAACAAACATACAAAAACAAAGACAATGGAAAAGTATTTCTTTTTCGAATATAACTAATAATTGAGAAAGAAATAGCAACATTCTACCACTGTCTTTCAGTCAGATTTTATAGTTTTTGCACGAAATTGGTGTTTCGATCATGTTTGCTTAATTATGAGTATGAATTGAACTATTTTTCTCATTGAAGACAAACAAAATGTACATTATATTATCATTAAATATTATTGTTTGAAAGTTATTTCATATATTATATTGTCTTTTATGATATCTGCTATAGGAAAACGATTTTAGATAGACATCATCATTATTAGATCTGCCAAATAGATTCTACTCTATTAAAAAATCAATCATAAGATACTCAACTCAATTTTCTTCTCATTCTCTTAGAAATCGAAATAAATTTATNTTTCAACCTTTACAATAACTGTATATAATTGAGTGAAACGTCCATCAAGTAAACAAAGACAGTCATTAAAATATTGTACCGTCACATTTAAATAACTAATACTTGTTGAATAAAATATTGTAGATGATAAATTAATAAGTGATAATGGTGAATATTCAAAATGATCTTCGAAACCAAATTCGAAATGATTTAGATTGGTGAATATAGTAATAATATTAGAAAAAACATTTGTAGCTGCTACATGCTGTTTTTTTGAAAATTTTATATGATTAATCTTTATGACAAGATGCAAAATTTGATGTTTGAACATATGAATAAATGATGACTCGTCTAAATAAATATATCGATTTAGTTTGATTATTTAAATATGAAGAGAATACACAACATACCATTGAAAATATGACATGCCATTTTAAGTGGAAGATTAACAAGAGTAAGTTTCCATAATTTAATATAATTTCCAATGGAAAGAACACGATCAATTGATAATCGATCAAGAGTCAATGATTCAATATTGTGTTGAATTTGAGGTATTATGTCAAAACAGAATCGATCCAATATTGACTTTGTTTTTGACTTACTCTTGTTATTTGATAATATTTTCACCAAATCAATAGATTGTGTAAAGGTAATATCTTGAGCTAATTGATCGAGTTTTTTATTAACACCTATCAGTGAATATAATACATCAACATTATTAAGTTTCATCCAAATGGCAAGTAACATTTCGTCGCTTAAAGCACTGATGCTAACTGTTGAATGCTTCATGTTTAATTAGAAAAATGTGAATTGCAATGTGCATATACATATATATATATCTGTTCATTCAAAAGCATATTTGACGTCGTCCACAATGACAATGTTAAACACGTCGACAGTGTACAATGTAGCCTTTGTTCATAGTCAAGTTCGTTCATACTTGAACAATGATGCTTTGTGAAGAATAAATAAGGTATGATGGAAAAAGATCGAAAGGAAAAATGTCGAAAATAGAGGCGCCACAAAATGTGTGAATGATGTCATCAAAATTTGAATGACATGGAGAGTAGCATCTCTACTTTCAACATTTTTCCGTTTGATATTTTTCTTTTCGATCTTTTTCCATCCATTCATAAATAACAATTGATTAGTTTATTTAATCATATTATATTTTATAAAGACATAGAGTAAGAAAGGATGATTCGACACGGACTTTTGATTTTTCGCCTTGTAATGTTCCTAACTTTTTTGCCTTGAATGATAGAAAAAAAATTTGGACACAAAGTTTGTAGAGAAAACAGTTCTTTATCGAATAGTTTTTTTAGTTTCTCAAAATCTCTTTTAATAACGTTTTCACGGTCGTTTTAGTGAGATCTACTAGAAGCTGTGCCGAATTATCCCGCATACACTGATTTGCCAATCCTCTATACATTTTCATGCATTAACAATAAAACCTCTTTTTTGTGTGGAACTCTCATAGAAAAATATGAGTGTAAGTTTTATATGGAAGTTTGCCAGCTCCCACCCACCCTTACAGACAGTTACCTTTGGTTACCGACAGGCGCGATATAGTTATTGGTTGGTAATAGGGTGGAATGTGGGTGTGGTTGTGGGTAGGGTGTGGGTGTAGATGTGAGTGTGGGCGTGGATGTGGGGGTGGATGAGAATATGAGGGTGGTGATGTTGCTCATCTCTCGACGCACACNACAGAGCTCCTAATAAGAACAAATTCAATCATTCGCAAACTACCGCTAATTACTCAGGTAGTTTTCAAGATAATTAAATTTTTCTTATATCATTTGATTCAGAAAATATTTCTCTACTCAAAAATATAAAAAATCTATATGTTCCTATATAAACGTTTTAGAAAAAAAGAAAAATTCTCAAGGCATTTGAAAAGCTGTTCTTATTAGGAACATGCGCTGTATCTGTTGGTGATCGTTGGCGTATTATTTCATTAAGTTTTGATCGATGACTAAACGTATGTCAAATAGTTAGCATTATTCTTTGTAGTATTGAAACAGTTTGTAATATACTCCGTTTATTTCAAGAAAACAATGATGATATAGAACGAAGCGGACAAGATCGTCATATCATGTTGAATGATGATGAAATTTATACATTACGACAATTTTTTTTATAGATATTCGAATGAAACTTCGAGAAGTATTGCTAAAAGGTTTTTAACGAATTGGTCTCAATGGTAATCCTCGTACTATTCGAAATTACCTTTGATCATTGGGTTGTCACCCAGTACATGCACAACAAAGATTAAATATCTATTTATCACATACAACAGATGAATAACACAATTTCATCTTTAGCGATGAAAAAGTTTTTGAAGTTGATGCTTCTGATATAGTTTATGGGATACCGTACGGTCGTGCAAGACAAACACATTTCCAAAGTCAAGTTCAATTTCGCATCGTAATATTTGGTGTAGTATCGTATGATGGTCGATCAAACTTAGTATTTATTCATGATCAAATTAATACTACAACATATATTCAACATCTACAAGCGACGCCAAAATTGACATCTACGTCATCTATAAGGGCATTATTTAGTACATGATCGTCCTACATGGGCGCACACTGTACTAGTACACGACTGGCTACCTTAGTAATCGTATTAAATGCATGGATAACTAACCGACTACTAGTCCAGATCTCAATCGATACATTCAAGGAAATCATCCAAACTCTCAACGACGTTTGAAACGGTTGGTGGCGCAAGCATGGAATGCAATTCTTCAAAAAGTCATACGTAGGTACATAAATAGTATACCAAATATTTGTAATCAAATAATAGCTAATCAAGGTTGGGAAAGTGCAGAGTGATAGAGACTTTCGTGCACTTTCAGATGATGCACTTAGTTTGTAGTAACTTTGTTGCTATATTAAAAATAAATTTGAAAAACTGGATGAAGAAGAAACAAAAAAAATACATTTCCGGGGAATCCAACGATGAGGATGTCTTTGTTGTGCTTGAATTCATATTTTAGTGAACAAGTGCAATTCGAAACATTCATACATACAGTTGTAGAGAACTCCACGGACTATCCGAATATATAATTAGTTTTCTCAAAATGTTAATTTACAATAATGATATGTTCAAAACACCGACCCTAACTATTTTTTCCAGGAGGATTTATTATGTGAGAAGTAATGAATTACCAGAGGCAGTTAAACAAAATCGAATAAAATGATTTATATCCTGTGGTTGTGCTGGTTTGAGCGGATGTAAGTGCACGTGGTAAAACTCGGTAACATTTGATCAAACATGGTTCAACAATCACCAGTAGATACTATATTGAACATATTATAACACCATTTATCAAATACGATATTCCTCGTTTATTTCCTGATGATTTACGAAAAAAAATGATTCTTCATCAAGACTGTACACCAAGTCATACAGCAAAAGAGACAATTAATTATTTGAACGAACATAATGTCCAAGTTGTAGCGCCGAACGAGTGATTATCCAAGAGTCCAGATGCTTCCCCGATGGACTATTCGATTTATGGAATTCTCAAAGAATGAGTACGAAAACACAAGGTATCAACGTTTAATGCCTTGAAAAATACTATCAAACATAAGTGGGAAAATCTTGATCAGGACGTAATCGACCACGCTTTGAAGAATTGGATAAAAAGTTGTAGAATAATTTACTATGTTCATGGATCACATATTGAACATCTATTACAACTAATATTTAAAGATAAGAGAATAAAAAGCTTTCTATCTTGTTTCAAAATGAATGAAATGACTTGCACGTGAAGCAGTATCAGAGAATATAAATACTTGTTGAAAAAGTTACTTCTATACTAATAATAAAGTTGAAATAAAAAAGAAAATGTTACTACAAAAAATATAGTTTTTAGGTTTCTTGAGGAGGACACTGACGTAATACTCGAATTATTCTTCAGTACATTCAGCAGATAAATGTAAGGCAAGAATAACATATATAGGATGATAGAGAATTTCACCCTCCATGAGAACATATAAATGGTTGTTTAAAAAGACAATTGTATAGTGATGAAAAACGTAAAAAACTAATTTTGATGACAGTGACAAAATCAAGTCTATGGAAATCTGAACAAAAGAGTGCCTTCATTGCACTCAATTGTTTTTGGTAATACATATATGCCAACGATAATGGAAATATGCAGAATGATAGAAAACTCCACGCGCTTTAAGAATATATCATTGTTTTTTTGAGACTACGGTTTTATGGTAACGATTCAACTGAAATACGGACTGCAGTTATTTTTTCCGCGTGTCTTCATATATATATACGATGATATTCTATATGCCGCGTATATGTGTGTATGTTTCTTATGTATCTGATTAGTGTTATGTTCATGCTGGTTGAATCTTTTTATTGAGTTTACCATATTGCTCACGACTAATTTATGTAGTTACAATGATTCTAAAGATACACGAAGAAGGTCTCTAGCGAAGATCGAAATATGTCGTATAATTTGCTTGTATCATTTTTCACCTGTGTATAAACACATCCACAACCAAATTTTGCTTTTGCTTAGTATGTGTGAACAACGCAATAAAATTTAAACAGGTGATATCTTGGGCATGGTGGCAAATAACGCACATTTGTTATCTAAGAATAACGAAAGGCTTCACAAACTTCGTTTCTCATTCATTTTCTGTATTTGAAGTAAGTACAACAGTAATAATGATGTTTATTGCTAAGGCTTTTATACTTCTTTATTTGATTTTGAACATGTCTCTGGTTACTTGTCTTCGGTGCACAAACTGTGCTAATATTGTGTTATCATTTGATAATGCGACGGAATTCCCGTCAAAATGCAAAGGGAAATTGATTGAAGTTGATGCTTGTCAAGCGATATTTCGCATGAATTACTTAACGCAAGAAATTCATCTGAATCTTACCGGCGCATATGACTCGATACGGGATTATGATCTAGTCTTATCAGTTCAAAATAAATTTGATGAACCAAAAATAATTGATGCCAACATCACATATACTTGTAAGACCTCAGCTGACTGTGCCAAACTATTTTATCAGGTAACTGTAGAAACACTAATTCGGAATGAACCGATATTAAACAAAATCGAGGCCGAACTATTTGACCCGACAGTAGTCAATATTGAACAGTGTTCTAATAATCAGGATCAACCCATAACCTGTGAAAATGGATATGGATGTCATGGATTTGAAATAATCGAGAATGGCAAGACCAATTTTGAAGGGGAATGTAGAAATGCCAGTACAGTGACGATATTCCCTCGTCTATATTTTCGTATCACACTTAAACAAGGCGATCCACCCCTTTCATCCGACTGGAATCATTTGGGTTTCACTTGCAATAAACAAAATTTGTGTAATACCCATCAGCAAATCAAAAAACTGGTGAGTTTAGCAAATGATTTCTATCCATGGGAGCTTATCGGAGGAAATTCCACGGCACCGAGCACAGCATTCATAGCGAATTCTACGGCACCGAGCACAGAATACATAGCAAATTCTACTGTGACTACTGCACCGTCGAGTACATCGATTCCAACATCGACATCGCAAGCAATGTGTCAAGAGCTTAGTTTGACGTTTTTGCTTGGCTGTATGGCATCAACTGTACAATTTCTGCGAAAATAGCTAACGCTTGATAATATTTATGTGTGTGTATTTTAGACTTATTTTGGACTTATTCGAAATATTCAAATAAAAATCGATGATATTGAAAAATTTCCTTAGAATGTAGAGCCCGTCGCCGTTTTTTTGTGACACCACGAAAAACCTTTTTC